CTCCTAAATCTTCTTTCCATATCTGAAGATTCCTGTTGGAAGTGTGATATATTATTTTTCTCCTTTTGCTGGATACAAATTAATTCCATCTGGAAGGTGTACTAGGATCGTACATTGCGTAACATGGCTGTATTTCTTGAAGTTTGCTTTAGGAAAAGAGTTATCTTCCTTTGGATTGTTTTCTCTTCATTTTATTGTCCTGCCAGCACACTGTTGCTGACAGTTGCCTTGCAGCAAACGTAGCAGAAGTGATGCTTGAGCAAAGGGTATTACGTATTGCAATACAGAGCAAAATTAAAGCATGCCCTAGTATAGAAGTTAAACTTCTGACTTTCGCAAAGATTAAATGTCTTTTGAGTTGTCTTGACCTTCTTGGTTGCTGAGAACGATAATATTTTGGTTTTGAGCTTAGAGCCTATGAACACATTTTTATCAGCTGCAGTCAGTTCAGTATTTTCATACAGATGTTCAGTTTTGCTGATAATTTTCCCACTGATTTTAGTTAGTAGAAGACTGTTGTATCAGCAGGGCCTGTATGAGGATTGTCTAAACTCCACAGTTTCATAACGACTGGGTGCAAAAAGGGTTGTGTTTGTATGGCTTTTGCGTTGTGTTTCTTCAGACTGTGAAAGCATTTTATTTGTAAATACCTAAGTACAGTTAAGGCACACTCACAGTTTTGTTTAAAATGATTTTATTTTGAAAAATACAATGTGCAGTGTAATGTTGACTAACTGTAATACTGATACTGTCAATCAGAACTTGTACTTCACACAATGATCAGCTAGTCATGCAATAAAATGTACCTGTTTATGAAGCACTCCCACTTCAACTGTTTTATCGTTATCTCTTTATGGCATAGCACAAATCCTTGTACGTTGAAACACCCTCTACGTTCGCAGTCTTTCTACACACTTGACAGCACACACTAGTCACATAGCTCAAGAACACTGAGGTGAGACCACAGCCTTACTGAAATTGAATGGGGTTTGCCATTGATTTCAGCGGGCTGAGGGTTTCGCCCTGAATATCCATCTATGAATGTATTGTGGGTGGCCATTGTAATCCTTGAACTATTATCACTTGCTCGTAACTGGAATATTTAGTGGAAGGAAAAAAAAAGGAAAAAAAGAGTATGTTATGTCAGTAACACCCAAATAGTTTTACATCTCAGGTTTTGCATTAGTTTCGGTTAGCTGTAGAAATCTTAAACACCAGTGCTGCTACTAGAGATTCTGAAGTTGTTTTCCTTCCAGATTTGGAGTTTGAAGAAAAAGGTTAAGTGATGTTAATAATACAGCGAAACACAGAGTGGCAAAGCTAGTTCCGAACATCTGTGTATTTCAGACTATATATTGCAAGCATGGCTTTCCTCCCCTCTCCCCACCTCTTATTTTGAGCTTTAAATATCCTTCCCACATTCAGGGCAGAGGATGTCATCCCTTTCTGTGAGGAAGCCACGACCCACTAACGAGAGAGAGCACTTCTTACAGTTAAAGCAATCATTATGCCACTGCCGTTCTTCAAAGGAGATGTACTTGGTTCCTCCGAGTCCTGTTTGAAAACCAAAAGCATTCTGTTACAAGAAAAGAATAACACTTCAGCCATCAAGTGATACTATTTCAGACTTCCCTTATGGATTGCTATGGAGATCTGACATATAGTAGTGAAAAAATAAAATGCCTTTGTGACAAATCTATTTGTTGCTGAGCTATTTTTGCCACCCTTATCCTATAGCAAGCAATATTTGCATCCTCAAATAGTTCTGTTGTGTTCAGCCAAGTTAGTGCACTAGACTGTTATCACTGGTGATAATGGCAGAAATGATGTTTCAAGGGATGGCATTATATATAGCAGAAGAAAAGGAAAGCAACTGCCCCTGGACAGAAGTCTGATAGTTTTTTTTACAGAATGTTCTATGGCATCTGAGTAAGTTAATTTTGTCTTGTAAAAATGCTTAGGTCATTAAACAAAGAAGTCTGACAGGTTGTGTGTCATGACTTGATTCAAAGCTTTGAAGGAAGAGTGCCTCAAGAAAAGCAGGTTAGCAAACTGCAAAAAAAACATTGAAGAGTGTGAGGCTATGGAGGTTATCATGAGGAGTATTAAAGTAGTACAGGACAAAACAGAAAAGGGACAAATGTCTCTTAGTAGTAATTATCTCTTGCTTAACCTCAGAAATGACAAGCAGTTTGAATATGGTGCGTTGGAATGACTAGCTGGAAGTCAGTGAAAATACTTAGTTGGGCATGTCTCTTACCTGATGAGAAGGGGTTCTGTTTGGTTTTGCCTTTAGTAGCAACATTTGAAAAAAAGGATATGATAGAAAGGACTGCAATATTCAGAAGAGAAATGCCTCTTCCACATGAACAGAAAACAGTACTTGTGGGGTTACACACGGGCTTTTCTAGGAGCGGTGCAATCAAGCATGTATTACTGAGGGACAGGCACAAGGGCAGAGCAATAACGAGAGAAAATGGTTCAGATAGATTCTCAGTCTTGTATGGGTCATGCTGTTAAATGCTGATTACTTCATAGAGGAGGTTATATTTTTATGCAAAGTGTTTTGTAGTAAAGGTCTAAGCAGTTGGCCTTTTAAGTACTTTTGTACTGGAAAGCTGTATCTAAAAGCCCTGTGATTTCTCAGTTGCTGTCCCAAAAAGTCAGGGAAGAAATGCACTGTGCTACAACATGAGGTAGAAGCCAGTTACTTTCTGCTGGTGGAAGGACTGTTGTTGCTGAGGTCAGTGATCCCTCTAGTGAACACAAGTGGATCAACGTATAGAACGTGCATATCCCGGTACATGCATAGCTCTGTTACTGTCTGTCCACCGTGTTCCATGAAAATCAGGTGAAAAGGAGGAAACCAATTTAAGGACCTCTTCCATTTCTTTTTGTTAGGCACTTTAAAGGCATCATAAGTAATTTCACACATCTTGAATTGTGTAGTTTCTTGAGTCTCTCAAGTTATTCAGAATGAATTATTGAATTATTTGTACTATTAGAAGCAGTTTATTGAGAAAAAAACCCAACCAAACCCAAAACAACCCAAAATTTAAAGGCTCTGGCCATGAGAGACCTACCACTGATTGGGTTTGTGCATCCAGCACACTTTTTGGCGTAGAGGTTGCAGAAGCAGCTCAGGCAATATGCAAACT